GTGTGAATATTCTGTGGTATACTGAACTGAATGGCCAGCTGTCTGAGAACAAGGGTTATAGACACTAAAGTTCCTGACATAGACGAGGTCCGATTGGCAAAATGGCTCCAGAGAGTGTCTGATAGACATGTGCTTCAGAGATCCAAAATAATGGTTATTTTGTCTTCGGGGCACTTCAAAGATGGCTTACATCCTGTGTAGGTCAGTTCTCAGTAGGTTCATCATGATGAATTGAAATTTGGCATTTAGAGAAACTTTTTGTTATTCTTTCTGTGCTTTTTTTGTGTTAACTGTGGGAGTCATTGCCTGTTTTTATTTCCTCATTTAGGCTGGTAAGAAAATTAGGGAGTTGCTTTTCCTGGCCTCATAAGAATAACATTTGTGTGTATTAGTCATGAGTCTAGCTGGATCTATGGATTCCATAGCAGATAAAAATGAAAGAAGAGCCAGTTGGGACTAGTTTTGTTGCTGCAATGACAGTCTTACAGGAGCTCACTTTAACAGACTCTTCTAACTTGATTCATCTAATTTCCTTTATTTTTGTTTGTACACAAACCTAGCCAATTAGTTTTACCAGAATTAGAGAGCAAAGGTCTACTTCAAGTTTGAAAATATCAGTGGGTGTGTGCAAGGATGCAATGTAGATTAGAAACCAATAATAGACAGTCTCTTCTAAAGCCTCTCTTTTAGTCTGGAGGCAGAAGCTCAAGGTTGAACAGATGTCTCTAAAATGGCAGACCAAGGAAGATCTATCTTTAGGCAGGCGGCACAGCGTTTAAATGGAAAGAGTTCTAGTTGAGTGCACATGAATCACCTAGGGATTTTGTGAAAACTTGGATTATGATTCAGTAGGTCTGGGGTAGGGCCTGAGATCTGGCACTTCTAACAGGTTCTCAAGTGACACCGATGGTACTAGTTTACATAGCCCATTCTGAGTGGCAAGGTGCTAAAAGACATCTTATTTGGATAGATCCATTAGTTTACTCTGTGTTGCAATTTAGTCTTCAACAAGTGTAGATTACATAACTGTTTGACATTAGTAACGGGAATTAGGAAGAGCAGAGAACAAGTTAACTAATATTCCAGGGAAGCCTTGCATGTACCAGCAACAGAGCCAGTTGCTTTACTTAGGCTATTTTATAGATGTCCTAAAAGCACCTTGGGACCCTTGTTTGGGGGATGGATTTGAATATGCAGAAATAAGACTTATGTAAAAACTCTATGTGGTATGATACCTGAGAGGAAAGGAATATAAATAATAAAATGTGCCATTATTCATTATTAAAGGACGTAATCATGGACAATTATAATCCTTTAGCAGAACGTCCAGGCCGTTTGAACAGCTTTCTCCAGGTCATACAGTCTTTTAACACTAGTGCAAAAATTAAAATCTGTATCCTGCTTGCTCTCCTCCCAGCAACATCATGCTGTTTTTTGTGACTGTATTTTTAACCAAGTCTGGAGAGAGACATCAGTACAAATTTTGATGTCTTGGCCATGCAAACCACAGAGGCCTTTATGATGTAGGATACGGTGTAGGGTGCATATGTATATATATAGAGGTGAAGGGAAGATTTATGGATGTGTATATCGAATAGGAAAACTTCACATCCTACAGTGTTTTAGTAGTGCTCTTTTGCAGGAACATTTAGGCCATGCTAAAGGAAAGAAAAACTGTATTGAGTAAGACTAATGAAAAAAAAAGGTAAATTGATACTGAATGAAGTAACTTTGGCCAACATCAAGGATGTGGCAATGGACATTAGAAATAAAACATAACACAGAGGACAATGGGAATTGGAGAGAAAAAGTGAGTTGGGGGAAATCGGAGGGGGAGATGAGCCATGAGAGACTGTGGGCTCTGAGAAATAACTGAGGGTTTTGGAAGGGAGGTGGTGGGGGTTGGGTGAGCCTGGTGGTGGGTATTAAGGAGGGCACATATTGCATAAAGCACTGGGTGTGGTGCATTAAAAAAAAATGAATCTTGGAAAACTGAAAAAATATTACAAAGAAGGAAAGAAAGAAAGCAGAAGCAATGAATTTAAAAAGAATCACAAATATAAAAATACTAGGGCTTTGTTATTGATTGGACAGAGGAAATTATAGAGGTGGGTATTTAAAAATGATTTTAAATTTCTCTCTGTTGTTTGTCTGTCTCTGCAATAGGCATAGGAGTAGTTAAAATCATGGGCTCGATGACTGGATATGCACTGAATTTAAATGTTGAGTTCTTCCTATATTAACTGTTTGGCTTTGGCATGTGGCTTATTCTCTCTAAGCCTCTCACAGGGTTGTTTATAGGGAATTGATGAGATAATCTACCTACGATAGAGAATATAGAGCCTGATCGCATATAGATAAGATACAGAATCTGGATCTACAGAAGAATGATGGTGTCATTATCTGCAATGAATCTTCAAGGATTTTGAAATTGATTTCAAAGCATGTGAAATGGTGCGAGCATGGTGCAGAGGTTGCCACAAACATGATTTGTCCATGTACCATGGTTTATGGAGCATGCGTGAGGTTCAGAATGGGACCACTAGTGTTTAATTTCCAACTTGACCATAATGACTAAATACTGAGAAATAGTTAGGTGTGGAGGTTATGGTTCAAGTTCATAGAATGGGAAATAGGAACATGTCAAAGGCAAACTATGCCTAGTCTTCTTGTGTGTAATTTGGCTTCCATGGCTGTAAAATGCTACTGAGTAACAACAAGTGAAGGTGTGGGAGAAAAAATAGGACTGGAGGAAGAGGAGATAAATACGGTGTAAGAATCAGGGTAACTATACCAAGGCCAACTGGGCAAACTAGAATGAGGGAGACTCAGAGACTTCAGGTAGACCAAGCCTAGGGACAAAATCAAAGAAAAGAGCATGTGGAACATCCAGTAGAGTAGAGGAAATAGGGAAAGAATTATTGTCAAATTAACAGACAACCACCAAATTTGGGAAATTCACAGGAACTAAGGAGCATAAAGGCTGGAACAAAAACAATTATGAAACATTAGTAACTGATTCTGATACTGAATATCCAGAAGAGTCTCTTTGCTGGGTCTCTCTCCCAGGAGAGAAGATCTGAGTGAAAGTCTCCAGGTGAGGATAACCCAAATCATCAGTCGGCTGGCAATACAATCAGTCAGGTAGCCATGTTGCTCTGGCAGAGGGATTCTTAGCATATCAAGTGCTCTGAGTCAGACTTCTCCTCTCTGCTTTCATCTTTTTGCATACTGCCACCAAACTTAGCTCCTAAAGCTCCATGTTGGTTTTAAAACCTGGTAGGCCCAGGGTACTAGAGCTGTATTGATTTCCTACCACACAAAGGAGCGGAGAGAATGAGAAGGTACAGGAGTAGGGGACGGAAACGGAAATGAAACAGAAAGTCAAGTGGAAAAGAGAGACAGGAAATCTGGACAACTTAAGATCATGACCCAAATATCAGGCATCTCCCTTATTATAGATGGTTATAGAAATCAGTAGCTGCCTATGCTTTGTTCTTGTGTTGAGTTTACTGGAGGGATACTGCTCTCATATGTATACTCAGCTCTGCAACTTAATACATAATTGGATGTTACTTGCACATTTTTCCCTCTTGAGAGAAATAAGAGTTTCTTAAGTAGGAGATATTTCTTAGCCTGGGGATGATAAAGACTTCTCTCACACTTTACTTCCCCAGTTGGCATAAATATGAAAGACAACTGGGAAAATATCGATTGAAGAAAGTATTGCAGAATAGCATTTATTCAAGCCTCAAAATATATCAGGTGGTTTATAGAGCAGAGAGATAGATGTAGTCCCTTAAGGCTTAAGTTGTGAGTATCAGCATTTACTGAGGAGAACTAATTTACTATTTTCTGAAAGGAAATGGGGTTGAGAAGAATGATTGCAGCAAAATGCTTAACCAGGAAAAGTGTCACAACTTTTTATTGAATTCTTGTTTGGGGTATTTTTGTAAACTTATCAATCATTTTGTGACATTTTACAGTGTAACGAGATTTTGGTGTTTGTGCAACATCACTCTGAAATTGCCCCAAAGTAGATTTCTCTCTCTCTCTCTCTTTCTCATCAAACTGACATTGGGTACAAGTTTATGAGTCTTGAATTACTGGTCCATTAGGTAAAACTCTTTTGGTTGCAAGTTATGGAAGTTGTAAGTTTTAAAAAGAAGGAGATCTTGTGTGAAAGAAAACGATATTCTTAGGGAGCCTCAGGAATCGAAAAATCAGCGGGGCCCCAGGAATGTTTTAGAATTCCATTCTGGAAAGCCCCTGAGTGTCTCTCCTCCTTAGGCTCCCCATGCACTTTGCTCTCTTTCTTGATCTCATCTGATCTGCTTTTTATGGCAAATTGAGGCTTTCCCATAGCTCGCAAATTGACATATTATAATTTCAATCTTCCCAAGTAATTGCAGAGCGGTCTGAATTCCTATTCCACATTCTTGGAAGAGAAAGTCTTACTCTAACCACCTCCCTTAGGTCAGAAGGCCATCCCTGGTTTCATCAGACTTAGTACGAACCTGGTTTCTGGGGGCCAGCTCTGTGGATGTTGGGGCATGGGAGTTGGTTTCCAGAAAAATAAAATCTTAAAGGCTTGGTGGCTTGTGCCAAATTCATCTCTCCTACCATGCCCAGAATGAGAAAGCTGCCTGCCATTAAGGACACTCTCCATAAATATCTGTTAAATGAAATATTTGTTGACTGAATGACCAGTGAGGATATAGGAACACATTTGGCTAGATAAATGAGGAAGGTTTTTGCATTTTGAACATTGGGATAGTAGATATTTATTAGTTAATTGCTGTAACAGTTAATTTTAAAGTTATCTTAGTGAAAATCATTTGATTTCTAGGCTGCTTTTATGTATTGGTAAAATCATTTTAAAATTTAAAAAATTAAAAATTTTTGTGAGAACATTTGGATGACTTCACAGTACACATAGTCATTCATTTTAATGCCATTTATTTCTTTATTTTTTAAAATTTTATTTAACATTCATGAAGACTAAGCCTGGAGTAATTCGCCCGGTACCTGTAAAATCCAAAATATTACTGAGAAAAGAGGAGGAAATCTATGAGCCCAACCCTTTCAGTAAATACCTGGAAGATAACAGTGACTTCTTTTCTGATCAGGTGAGCATACAGAAGAAAAAATTTTGATACTTTGATAAATAACTATAAAATATGAAGATGCTTCTATGAATATGGTATGTACAAGAAAATGTTTATTTGATTGGAGTGTCCTTAGTAATAAGAAAAGGTCCATTATTTGCATAATAAAAAGAAATTCATATATTCCCAGGATGATATTTTGTTTGAAGTGTTTCAAGTTAAAAAAAATTTTTTTTCTACCTCGTGCTGGTAATGTTTTAGGAACAAAGACACGATTCTCCATAAAGAAAGACATCATGAAGTCATTGGTTGGATGGGTCATATAGGTGTCGCATTATTTTTTCTAAATTCCTGCTTCATTTTGAAGAGATGAACTATTTTGGATTTGGTATATTAGTACATTTAGCATGTACATTTAGATGTACATTTAGTACATCTTTTGTATGGATGCGTAGTAACATACTAGAGATGATACGAACCCCTAGATTGAGCAGTAATAGTGGATTGGGGCTTAAGATATTTTAAGGCTTTTTTGGTCATTTGGATTACATGTAAAAAAGGAGTACTATCTTCCCCTTGTATATCCTATATGTTGGAGGGAGAATAATGGGAGGTTATTGATGGTGCTTTATAAGCTATTTGGGAAACATATGAAAATACACATTTATGCAATATGAAAGTCCATAAATTATTTCAGAGTGAAACTTTGCATCTTTTTGTCCTATTAAGATGCAGCAAATAGGCATGGGTTGTATATTTTATATCTCAAATACTATGACATGGATAAACAATGTGAGCAATCCAGAAACCTTTCTGAATACAGCCAAGGCAAGTAAAATCACCACCCTTGGTGATCTATAATAAAATGTACTTATGAAGGAATACAAAGTGATATACTCCATGTAAATTTTACTTTGAAAATAACTAAGAATATTCTTGAAACAATAAATTATACTTGCATTTGTGAATCATAAGGACCATCTTATCTGCCACTTATTAGCTCTATAACATCTCTCTTCATTTTCCTCATGTATAAAATGAGGTGTTCAGATTGGGTACTTTTTAAGGATCCTTCCAATTCAAAAATCTGTGTTCCTTAAAAATCTAAGATTAACCCTCATTAGGTCAGAAGTCACTGTGTAGCCTTGAAGATGTTCATCATAAATACTTTCTCAGGATTTGTTATAGTTTTTTCTATAAAATGGAGACAATATGATTTTGATAAGGTAAATATTTTTAGACGACACTAATAGCATTGTCTATGATAATTAGAGGCAATTACTTTCATTTTATAGAATAAAATGTTATCCTCACTTTAAATTAAATAGAGAAATCTCACTGATTTATAGGATTGTCTTTACTAATTCCACACATAACAGAAATGAAAATTCCTCTTAAAGCATATTTTAATCATCAACCAAAAAACACTTATTAAATATCTACTGCTTGTGTGATACAAATACTTTAGAGGCTTACTGTGACATTTTAGACCTCATGGGATCATTATAAAAATAATGCAGTCAAATGACAAAAACGTCAACAGCTAAGATAAACTTCACATACTATCTATGTAATTTACGTTCTTCAAAATACAACCTACTGCTGTAAAATAATGATTTTGTTCTTTTATATTAGTATAATTTCAAATGTATGTATTTTGCTTTAAATAAGATTCATGTGTAGAATATCAAGGTACAGATTTATCACCATTAACTCTCCATGAAAAGGATAAATTCCATTTTCAAGTTTAGGAAATTCTTGTCATTAAAAGGAGTTGCCATTTCTTTGCCCTGCTTTTTTTGACTGGACTGCAAGTTTAAAGCTCTGTTTATGTTCAACATAAACCTATGAATTTCCAGATAATTTGTGGAAAATTGGAACTCTTTTGCAAATATGGAGGTGCCACAGACACAACTGTACTCGTATTGTTTTTTTCAACCAATTTTTTCTTGCTTTTATCTCACCTTTTATGTGGAACATGGGAAGTAAAAGGAGTCTCTAGACTGTTAGACTGAAAGAGGTAGAGCATACTATTTAAAAGTGAATTCCAGACACTCCCTGGTCGTCCTCATTAACCTTGCATGAGAGGGATAATTTAATAGAAACTTGGGGTCCCTCCCTGCACATGGGCCAACTACATATACTATGAACTAGTCTCTCTGTGTGGAGTTCTAACTACCATCTCCGTGTCCAGAATCTGCCAGGGAGAAAGACATCAAAGACAGCTCACCAGTGCAGATGCTTAGATCTGCTTAAAATATAAATTGAGTAATAACAGTTTATAATCTCAGTGTTGCTACTTCATCGGAACTTGAATAGAAGAGCATGTACTCAAATTTGCTAGTCACTCTTGTAGTCTCCTTTGCTGCTGCCACAGAATAAATTGAATGGTTCCGAACTCAGTTGATCTCACCCACCCATGTAATGGAAAATTCTTTAGCCAGACACTTGGGCCAAATTGAAGCAGCTCACATTCACTAATCTGCCTTGTACTGGGGACAGTTCCACATGACAGGAGATGCTGGATGGGATTGTTAAGTCAATAAATTTCCCCTAACAGCTTCGCTGCCATAAAATATGATTTCAAAACTCTCTGTTACAAAATGTCAGACACTAGAGATGATGAGACCAGACAGAAATGTATTTACTGTAGCTTAAGATACAAGCAGGCAGCCTTTTAAACTGATAATGAACTGAACATTTGCCTGGAGACTGTCTCTGGGTACTAAAAGCAAAGTTTGAAACTAAACGCATAATCAAGTAATTGAGACTTATTAATCAACAGCTTTTACATCAAAATGGCATAGGCCAAGAAGCATCTGTCTATATTCGATGGATTTTGTGACAAAGACTCTTCGGAATGAAGCTTATGCTTTTTTGAAATTACCTTTAAATCCATTATTGTATCAATTTGTGGTCCTGTTGACTTATTGCAAAAAATCCTCACACTTGCATTTGGATTTGAAAGTATGGTGATATACTTTGAAGCATACCCTATAGACAGCCAAGGTCAGAGCTGAAAAGTAATTAACAGAATTGATTGGACAAACAGGCATCCAGAAGACATTGAGGCTTAGAAAATCAATTCACTGATGAGAATGAAGATACTTAAAGAGCCCACTGATTTTTGGTTTGTCTGACTACTTGTGAGTTGGCAAAATACATTGATTGTTTTCTGGTCAGTTAGTGTGTCTAATTGGATAAAGGTGATTTCTTCACTTAAGATCTTAAACTTAATAAAAAAGCAATTGCTAAACTCAGTTATATAAAATGTTACATAAAATACTCTCTTTCTCTTTTACTCTTTATAAATAAGTAATTGAACCCAAAGTATTAAATAAGTCATTTTCTTCTGAAAGCCTTAGAGAAATATATAAAAAGAAAGGATTTGGACAGAATTAAAGAGGAAATATTGTTATTTCATCTGATTACGCTGGGTTTTTTTTTTTTTTTTTTTTTTTTTTAGTGAGAAATAACACTTCCTAGCACGTGTGCCTCTTGAATTTTATTTTCTTTTTAATTTGCTTCAATAAGAAAAGGAACATGTTTTGTGTGAAAATGACCATTTAATGAATTTCCTCCGCACCACTTTGCAGAGAACTTAAAGGCACAATTATGGGGGATTTTTTTTTGGTGGGGTAATATTTTCAGTCTTTCTTTTCTCTGATTTTTCTGAGATACCTGACTTCGCTACCAAATTTTGTTTGACATTCAACTTTGATGATTACGTGGGTGACTTTCAGATTTCTATCTCATTATTCATCAAGTTAGATTTCTTCTGCGACCTTCACCTTCACTTCCTTGTGTCACATGCATGTTACTATTACAGAGCAAGTATTCATCTTTGTCATAGGTGAAACTGACAATGCTGCCTTTTATTCTGAATGACTTCTGGCTTTGCCATAAATTGCTACTGTTTCAACAATTGTTTCTCAATCAAAATAGTCCATTCTCTTTTGTCGTAAAATGATCTCTTATCAGTGCTAACCTTTCATTGAGAAGTAGTTTTCAGCTTAAAATGTTTAACCTTTCTAGGTCTAGAAGTGATTAAGTGGTTTTCCCTAACTGTCTTACGGAGGGAGAACCGAAATGCCTTATGTTACATTTCTTATGGAAGGGTTAAGACCAGAGATTTAGTTTCTTCATGTTTTGCCAGGTTATTTTTGTTTATTCGAGTAATGAAATCTTTGTGAGTTTTTTTTTCCTTTTTCCTTTTTTCTTCCTCCCTCCTTCCCCACCTTTCTTTCTTATTTCCTTCCTTTCTACCTTCCCACCCCTCCTTCCTCCCTCTAAGTGTAATAGGTAATTGTTTATCATAAACAGGTACTATATCACATGTAATAGTTTATCATCATAAACTGTTTTTTTTTCTTTTCTTTTCTGAAATTGTCCTGTAGAGACAATATTTGCTTTTTCTCTAGAATATAATCAAAATAGGATCACCTTTTCAGACTTAAGATTTCCTCTCATTCTTTCTATTTGGTGGGGGGAGGTTTAAGCTTTCTCATGACCTTGTGTAATTATTGAGATTGGAAGATTAGAACTGGAACTACAGAGTTTCAATTTTCTGTTGCAGTTGTCTTCAAGCTATGGGAAACTTAGTTTCTTGTCCCCCTTCCTTTGCCTTACATAGCATTAAAGTATTTAAGAGATTCTTACTTGCTTTAAAACAAGCAAACAAACTCATGAAGAAGACCAATTGCCACTTGGATCATAATAGATAGAATTATTCTATTTCTAATAATTCTAATAATTACTTATGCAACTGAATTCTAATAATTCTAATAATTAGTCAAGCTCTGAAGCATTAGTTGCCTAAGAAATATTGGTAGATATGCAGTATCTTACCATATCCTAATCTATAGGGAAAAAATGATAATATGAAAGTTTTATACAAATGTGTTCTTTGATGTTTTGTTAGCTCATGATGTCCCTATCTATCTCTATTTAAGAGGAATGGTACTGTCATATTTAGAGGCTCTCATGTAAATTATGCTACAGTTTTAAGATAAGGTCTTGTT